GAGGAGGGCCAGCAACCACGTGAGCACAAAAATGCACAACAGAATAACATCAAATTGCAGAAAGGGCCACGTGGAAACTCAGCTGTGTGGTGACTGAAAGAGCACGGAAGCAGAGGGCAGGGCTCTGGAGGGCTTCTCGGGGGCAGGGTCCCCCCGGAGGTGCCATGACCTGCGGGCGCCACGAGGGCAGTCCCAGGAAAAAAGGAACGAGGCAGCCAGCCGGCTGTACGGATGCGGGCCGGAAATGCGGAGGGATCGGGATTAGGGCAAATCCCTGGGCGGCAGAGGATGGACCGGAAGGAGGTGGTATCTTTTCTGAAGGCTCTTGAGCACTGGAGCAAAGAGCTGGGTTTTGTTTTGTTTTTTTCCTAAGAGAAGTGGAGGCCACTGAAGGGAAGGAGTGAAGGAGTGTTATGACTCATTTGTAGCCGCTGGATGGAGAGACTGAAGGGACTCTGGGACCTGACGGTCGGGAGAATCTCCTAGGTGAGATTCGACTGGAGCTGTTTCAGAGATGAAATGACGAGCCTGCTGATGTGCCCTGGGGCTGCAGTGGGGTGAGACCAGCCGCGGGAAAAGGGCATCGAAGCGAGCAAGCGGAGTTTCCGGTTTGAGCCAAGCACAAGGAAGGACCATTTTCCGAGGTGGAGAAACAGAAGGCCAAGCAAATAGCAGGGAATCTCGTGTGTGAGGTCGGGCTCTGCCTGTGAGATAGGCAGATGCCGAGATCAAATAGGCAGCGAGCGCGCGAGAAAGGTCTTGGCTGGTTAACAGGAATGTCGGCGTCATCAGCACATAGTGTGTCCACCAGGGCCGTGCGTGAGCTCAGAGAGGGCAAGAGGGGCCGTTTGGAGGCCGAGAAGCTTCGATCTCAGGGCCGAGCGGAGGGCACTGAGGAGGGTGCATGTGTGGGAGGTATCGCGGATGAACTACTGATCAAGATGTGGCCAGTTTTGTTCGTCCCGAAGCTGCCAGGAAGCGCAGTAAGATAGCGTAGTGTTCCTCTGATTTGCCGGTGTGATATCGTCGGTGACTTTGGTGTCCGCTGGATGCGAGAGCCAGAGGGGCCCGAAGAATGGACAGACAGGGACCTGTGGATAGTTCTGGAAGGATTTTGCTATGAAGGAAGAACTAAGGAATTGGGGTAGCAGCCGGGGGCTCCTGCGGTCAAGGGATGCTTTCTGAAGTTAGGAATACTGAAGTGTGTTTGACCGTGGGTGGGAATGATCCAGCGGACGGGAAGCGGTTGGGAATTCGTGCAGAAGAGAAAGCGGTTGCAGCAGGAACCAGGCCCGGAGCAGGCCTGCGGTGGGGGCCGGGGCAGTGGGCTTATGGGTTTCCCGGGCTACTCAAATAAACCTCCCCGAACTTGGCATCTTGAAAACAACACACGCGTCTCCTTTTACAGCCTGGAGGTCAAATTGCCAGTATGGCCAAAGGTCCCTCTGGAGGCTCCAGGGAACCATCTGTCTCTTGCCCTTTCGGACTTCCAGAGCTGCTTCTAGAGCTGTTTGCTTTGTTCGTTGTCGCTCCCTCTGTCTTCAAAGCCGCGGGCGGGCCAGGGTGTTGAACATCTTCATCTCTATCTGCTCTGGTCACACCATCTGCTATGCTCACATTTCCCCTGCTCCTCTCCTGTGAGGACGTCTAGGGTCAATCGAGACAGTCCAGATAACCTCCTCCCGCCCCCCGAAGATTCTTAGTATAATCACACCCGCAGAGTCTCTTGTTCAGTAAGGTCACCCTTAGCTGGCATGGACGGAGTGCTGTGGTGGACCCGCCTTGGCTTGGAGTGGGGAGATCTCCTTACTTCGTGTAACTGGAGGGAAAGGGACTCATGCGGGGCTTTGTAGGTTTGGTGGCAGAAAGATGAGGGAGTCTCTGCTTTTGGCTTCAACTTTCTGCAAGAAGTACTGACAGCCGAGAGGGATGGTAAATGCAGGAGGGCCGGGAGGGGAGGGGTCGAGGTCTGGAAGCAGCGCACACAGTGGGGAACTCAACCGCATCTCAGCCTGGCTGGGGTCACTGCGAGAGGGCCCGGCCAGGTGGTAAGTATAGGATGCGAATCCACGGGATCTAGCCAGGAAGTGAGGGGAACATCATAGCCGGGCGGCTTGTGAGGAGACTGTGAGCAGAACAGGGTGTTGAGGGTCCGGGGTGAACCCTCAGGAGTGTTGAGGAGGGGACACTGAGCCAGGCAACTGTAAATACCGGAAGGGCAGGCAGAGTGGGATGCCCTTAATGCAGATTTTGGAGACAGTGTGATGTCCAGTTATGACAAGTTCTGGGGTTTCCCTTGGGGAGTGAGTCCCTGGGGGACAGAGAGACGGGTCATCAATCTGGATGCTGAAGGTCCTGGGAATGAAAACAGGGAAGACGTGGCCAGGAGCCAACATCTTCAGTGAACAGGGAAGGGGGAGCGGCCCGGAAGAAGACGGGTGCTAGAAGTGCCTGGGTGACCGGAACCGGAAGAGCAGTGGGGGCCATGCTCACAGCTTCCGCCAAAAGGGACCTGGTGGTTTGCTGGAGGAAGGAGGAGAAGTAGCATGGACGGGACAATGCGAGCGAGGAGGCTTGGGTTTTCTTCCCGACTCGGAGGTAGGTAGCCAAGGTGTGAAAGACAAGTAGCTAACACTTGAGAGGGCTCCCGTGTTTCCATTTAGGTAAGTCAAGTAGCGAGGCTCTAAGAATGTGTGCTGATGCTTTGGTGGAAAAGTTTGGGAGGCCTGAGGTTCGAGGCACAGGAAAATGGGAGCCTAGCAAATACGGGGCTTTTGGAGAGGATCCCTGTGCTTCTAGTGGTGAGTTTCACAGGACACAGAACTTTTGGAACCAAGGGCCTGTGAGCGGTAGAGTAAGGACTGCGTTTTACCCTGTAGGTGGGGGGTGGGGGAGGGTGTTCACAGCAGACCATCATGGTCAAAGCCAGGCTTTGGGAAAGTTAACTTTCTAGCCTGATGAGTGAAAGAGGCCCTTAGAAAGCCACTGCACGGGCCAGGAGTAAGGTCTGACCAAGGTGTGAACACTGCGAATGGGGGAAAGAAACTGGATTTGTCAAGAAATGCGGTGGGCTTGAATTACAGGAGATTAGGAAGAGGAGGGAGTGATGGGGAGAAGGTTCCCAGGTGTTGGGCGTTAACTGCTTGGTTTGGAGGGGAAATTGATGGCTTGGTATTTGGCAAACCGCGGTCTTAGGTTGAGCAGTGGCCAGGGCAGTGTTAATGACAGGTGAGTCATGGGGCGCTCCCCTTGCCGTGTCTCACTGCCTGGGGTTCCCCAGACTGCGGACCCCAGGAGGCAACCGGTGAGTCTCCTGATTCAGCTTCAGATCCACAGGGCGAGGCCTAACCCTCAATTACGGTGTGCTGTTGGGCATGTGCGCAGATGTAAACTGAGGCGCCCGATTCACACGCTTTGCACCTGGGTTCGCCTCGCAGCCCGCGGGGCCAGAGCAGGCGCGTCCAGATGCACCTGGGGGGCGCCGGTGGAGGAGGACCTTGCCGGGGTTTGTGTACGAGAAGACGCTGTGAGCGGCTCTTCTCTCATCCCGAGGTAGGGCGGAGCAGGGCGCGTCCCCAAGCTTTCGCTTGGAAAACGGGTTTTCATCACACCCCTGGGCTCGGACCCAGAATCACAGTTGACGTCCGAGAATTTGATTCATTCAGGTGTAAACCGCCCACTTCTGCTCAGTTTCCTCAGTTCTGCTGACAGCAGCTAGCTCTTTTTTTCGCCTTTGTGTAGTTGAGGTGAACCGAGGCCGACACCGCCCTCGGTGGCCGCCGAGCCCCTCTGACCCTCCAGTCCTCGGCGCAGCCCCACGCCAGAGCGGGCCCAGCGGGGCTTGGAGAGGCGCGGGGGCCCCGCGAGATTGGCCCAAGCCGTTCCTCCAGCCCTGAGGTGCGGGAGGCCGGCGCGGGAGGCTGTCGGGGGCCCAGCCCACCCGTCCCCCAGGATCCCAGCGAGTATCACCCGGCGCGCGCGGGCCGGTCTGGGCTGGGGAGGCGGGCGCGCGCCGGAGGGCGGGGAGCAGGGGCAGGGACCGGGCGAGAGGGGGCGGTCCCCGAGGGCCGAACCGGAAAAGGCCGGAGCTCGGCACCGGGGGGTCGGGGCAGGTTTCGTCGTCCATTGAGGCTGCTGGGAGCCCGGAACCCGCCCGCACCACGTCCCCCAGCCCCAAACTAATGCTCTGGTCGGAGGCAGCGGCCTGTGGCTCGGCCGGTATCCGGAAGCCATGTGCGGCCGCGCGGACACCCGGGGTCCGGCGTGTACACGTGGACTTCCTGTCCCGTGCGCTCGCCGCAGGGCGGACGGGGTTTAATTGAAACGCAGGGACTGCGAGGCTCTGCTTTTGCGAAGTGGGAGGCGAGTGGTCCGGGCATTAGAGGGTTCCTTCTCTTCCCCCGGGAATCGGGGTGCCGTGCGGAGCCTAGGGGCCCCTCCGCAGCTCCGGGGCCTTGGCGAGCTGTGCTCCGGATGGCAGGACCCTCTGGCCCCCTACCCAAGGCTGTTCTGGGTCGTGCACTCTCCTCCGCTTTCTTGGGGCCTGGCCATCTGGGAAGTGTGAGGTGGGAAAAGGCACAGCGTTGAACAGACAGCACCGCCCCCCCCCCCCCCCCCCGCCGTGGTTCCTGGATGGGGGCTTTGCTGTGAGCCTCGGTGCCGACCCCAGAGACCCTGGCCCTGCAAGGGCAAGAGAGAGACTCCCCCGGTCCTTGACAGGAGCAGAGGGACCGAGTGCCTTCTCCTAGGGTCTAGATGCCCGCTGAGGGGGGTTCTCTGGGCGGCGCAGCCAGCCGGTCTAGGGCCCAGGCCTTTGCAGGCTTCACTGCAGAATTTGGCATTCTTGCCCAGAGCCAGGAGCCTCCTTGAGATGTGGGTAAGGGGTGGAACAAGGATTAGGAAGAAGATTCCCAAGAAAAGCTGCCTGTTCAGAAAATGTGCCCGCAGAAGTTGGAGGAAACTTTTCCCCCTCATATTCAGGTTATTACTGCATTTCAGTTCCTTTGGAGTTACATCGGCACTTTTGGTCTGGCTCAGACCTGTCACTAACTGTATTTATGGGATACCTTGTGTTTCAAGAACCAAAGGAGCTGAATTTTTAGAACCCAGTGATACAGAAATGTAAAGTAATGGCTCTGGATAGTTTCTTTGTGGAGGGTGTTCTCAGAGTAGCTGTTGCAGTTAAACACACTACTTAACTGAAGTCTGCTTCTTGGAATAAGTCTGCCCATGGGTTTTTTTTTTTTTCCTTTATTTTTTAAAAGAAAGACTGACATGTAGACATCGTAGTGCTAATGGAGTTTTGGATTTGGAGTCTCTGTGATGCTCACCATCTAGCCCTGGCCTGAGTGAGGGAGAGGACTACTACATTCCTGTTCATTGTGTGTGCCTTACAGAGTTTTAGGTGGATGCTCCCAGAAAAAGTAACTTTGAAGGTTAGCAGACTTGAAGAGCAGATCAGAGTTCAGCTCGGATACACTGGGCTGCCCCTGGTCTCTCTCCATTTCAGTCTCTGGAATGTTGAGCGCCCACGTGGGATTCGCGGGCAGGAGCAGTGATAGCATTGATCCGTGTGTGTGTGTGTGCTCTGAACCCAGCAGAGGCAGGGCTGTCGTATGAGGTAAAGGTGTGCCAGCGCCAGGTAATAGTTTCTGTATGGCCACTTTTCGGGTCACATTGAATCTGGTGACAGTGAGGTCAAGGTTGGGGCCGCCGCGTCGAAAGGACCAGGTGGCTTTGCTCTGTTACTGACCACAAACTGCCTCAATGCAGGTGCAGTCTCAGAGTTTTTGTGCTGTCACCCCAAGCGTCCAAAACCAGGGTGCTGACTGAGGCACCCATGGAACCATCACTAGGAAATTGCTAAGCACTTGGTACGTGTCTCGGGCATCCAGTTGTAGAAAGGAAGATGCTTGTCTTCTTGGCACTTGTACCACATCGACTTAAATCTGACCGTGGTTTTCCCTCACAGATATCTTCCAGAAAAGAGGGATTCATATTGTATTTGAATCTCTTATAAAGCAGGATTTTCCTTCTCTGGCCTAGAAGGTGTTGCTTAGGGAAAACAGGTTTGCTTAAAGCAAGGTCTAGTGCTGCCTTTAGATGCTTCCTGGTAAGGTCATCTGTCAGGAAAAAAAAAAAAAAAAAGAGGCAAGGGGATTTAACACTGATTTTATGGAGAAATTGCTTTGAGGATGAACTCAGAAGTGCTGGGTGTTCTGACAGCACTCTAAAAAGCACTGCAGCAAGGAGTTCCATGGTAGAGATCATGAATACACACGCACCAGGAGAAGGGGGAACAGACCATGTGCTCTAATGCTGTGAAAGTGCGCCTGGAGTCTGAGATCCAGTTTTCAGTGTGGTGATATAGTATTTAAGGCCCTGTGAACAGCTGACAGTTAAAAGACGGTGATCAGCCATATGACTCAAAAAGATTTAGTGATGGGGAAGAGACTGAGGCTGTCAAGAAATGGGACAAGTAGAAGCAGTCATTTTAAGTCAGCATATTATTTTAAATGATAGATGATTTTAAAATACTTATGTCATTAAATTCTTACAGTGAATATTGTAAGTGCCCATTTGAGCGTGTCACATTTAGAAGTTTTGAGTGGCCACAAGTTTTTTTTTTTAAAAAAATAAGCTTCTCACTGGCGAGAATGCAGAACTGATTTCATTCTGAGGCTGGTTTTTGTTTGGAGAGAGTGGGTTACATGGTGGAGGAGACCTGACCCTAAAGGGACCGTGGCAGTGAGAAGGCCAGAGCTGCTGCCGAGGAGGAGTGAGGTGGCTCTCCCGACCAGGGAGAGAAGAAGTGGACACCGGCCAGCTTGGGAGTCCGGGCTGACTTCCTGGAGGAAGTGACACCCAAGCCGGACATCTAGTGGTCAGCCGGGTGGGCTTAGGAAGGGTCAGAGGAAGGCATGCTCACTCCCAGGGCCCAGCCAAGACAGGGCGCTTGCAGGAACCTGGAAGTGTGTCCAGCAGGGCTAAGCAGTGGGGGCGGCCCAGGAAGCAAGGCAGGTGGATAGAGGTCAGCTGGGAGGTCAGCAGGGGCCAAGTCGCGAGGCATCGGGCGCCGCGCCTCGCTGAGAACGTTGCCGGGACTATCAGGAGCTTCCGCAGCCACGGTGGGCTGGTCGGCTGTGTCTCCGCCACGGTGTGAACAAGGGTGGGATCGGAGCACCCCGCTACCCTAGGAGATGGCTGGCTGAGGAGCTGAACTGGCCCCTCTGCCTCGCGCTCAGCATACTTCCTATCGTCCCCTTGTTACAGGTGTGGACACTGCCAGCGGCTACAGCCAACCTGGAACGACCTGGGAGACAAGTACAACAGCATGGAGGACGCCAAGGTGTACGTGGCCAAGGTCGACTGCACGGCCGACTCGGACCTNCAGGTGTGGACACTGCCAGCGGCTACAGCCAACCTGGAACGACCTGGGAGACAAGTACAACAGCATGGAGGACGCCAAGGTGTACGTGGCCAAGGTCGACTGCACCGCCGACTCGGACCTGTGCTCCGCCCAGGGCGTGCGCGGCTACCCCACGTGAGTGACCGGTGTGCGCGGGGGCCCCACGTGAGTGGCGGGCGTGCGCGGGGGCCCCACGTGAGTGGCGGGCGCATGCGCGGCCACCCCCATGTGAGTGACGGGCATGCGCCCTGCGCCCGCCAGGTCTTTGTTGGTTTTCCGCCAACCACCTCGGGCCAAACGAAGTCCAAGTTACATTTTTGGCAACTTCTTTGCAGTTCTGAGAAGTGAGGCGATGCCAACTTGGAGCCGCAGTCCCTCTTGTTAGGCAGGGTTATATGTATGCTGTGTATTAGATGCTTTTTTGGACTTTGGAAAAAGCCTTCAATTAGCTGAGTTTTCCTTTTTATATAATTANACTTCTTTGCAGTTCTGAGAAGTGAGGCGATGCCAACTTGGAGCCGCAGTCCCTCTTGTTAGGCAGGGTTATATGTATGCTGTGTATTAGATGCTTTTTTGGACTTCGGAAAAAGCCTTCAGTTAGCTGAGTTTTCCTTTTTATATAATTAAGAACGAGTCTGCCAGACAAAAATGGTGGTGTTCTCCATGAGGTCTTGTCACATCTGATTGTCCCATGTACATTTACACAGTGAATACCGACTGTCAGGAATTTTTGGTCACTCTGTTAATTCTTTTTTTTTTGTAAGATTTGTTTATTTTTGACTACGCTGGGTCTTTGTGGCTGTGCACAGGCTTTTCTCTAGTTGCAGTGAGCAGGGGCTGCTCTGCTTGTGGGCCCAGGCCTGTCACTGCGGTGCTTTTTGCAGAGCAGAGGCGCTCCACGTCCGGGCTTCAGTAGCTGCAGCTGTAGACTCTATAGAGTCCAGGTTCAGTAGTTCTGGCACACTGGCTTATTTGTGCCAAGGCATGTGGGATCCTGCTGGACCAGGGATCGAACTGGTGTCTCTTGCATATTGCAAGGCAGAGTCTTTACCCCCAGACCATCAGGGAAGCCCCGTCACGCTGTTAATTCTTTAGTCTCTTTTCTAGAGTTATTCTGCACGTGACCAGCACAAGGGCCGTTTTTGTTGGAAAGAAGGTGCAGTCATTCTGACAAGTGAGACTCTATTTGCTTGGCAGTTAAAATAGTTTTTAAGAACAGAAGTTGAAACTGGCTAATTGAACAAAAGAGGGGCTTGATGAGGCTGGCTTAGTCTGCAGGCTGTGGGAGCTCTGAGGGTCAGGTGGCCTGTTTCTCTGCACCCCGATCAAGGTGACTCCACTTGCCAGCTCTGCATTGCTCTGTTGACGTCGTGGGCTTAGGCCCGTCGCTGATTAGCCCACCTCGGATGGAGTATTCATTCCAGAAACAGACCTCGTGGCTAGAGAGGTGGGATCTTGTTGGAAGACAGTAGCCCCTTACGGACTCAGCATTTGATGTTGGGGTGAAGGGCACTTCTTGAAAAAGGGGAAGGTGCCATTTCCAGAAGGCTGGGGGAGGGGTCGGGCACTGCAGGTCCCAACATGTCCGTTCAAACTGATGAATGAAGTCAATCCGTACGAGACCTGAGCTGATCTTCAAACCTGAGAGGCCACGTGGAAAGTGGCTGGCACTCTGAGCTGTAACCCGGACGCTGCGGTTTGGACCCTGGCTTCGCTGTTCTCATATCCTGCAGCTGTGGCTGCGGTCCTCAGCCTCTTGAGTGTGAAGCAGGATGCTGGCACCCCCACCCCCCGCACTGGTGTGTGCAGACACCAGTCCGAACGTGCCCAATGCATGTTAAGGTTTCCCCCAACATTCGGAGATTTGGCATTTCCATGGCTCTGGGACGCTCATCTTCGGTGATTGCCTGCTGATCTGGGCACGGTATCTCAAGTCTGTGTCAGGTCGGAGCACTAGAGGCAGAATGTCCTGCTGTGCGTACCTGCCTGTTGGTATCATTGTCCTATGCTTCACTGCATTGCTTTCAGATGGATGAAGAGCGTCCCGGAGAAGCAGCCAGTGCGTTGTGGGGCCAGTTTCCTGTAGCGGGCTTGTGACTTGGAGGGGCAGGAGCTACAGATGGTTGGTGTCCACTCTTGAACTGCTAGCTGTGTGCGGCCGTGTGAACCAGTGACAGGGCTGAGCAGGCCTGGATGGGGTGTCAGAGCGGGAGCGGAGGGGCCCGCCCAGACCTGCTCGTCTCAGCTATCTGGCTGCACCGTCAGTGGCTCCACAGACACTGTTCACAGATACCAAGAGATCCACGTTGGAGCAGGCATCTTGATTTGGTTTTTAGAAGATCTGGTCCCTCCAGGAAAACCAGACCCTTCTTTAGAGTTGTTAAAGAGAATTACCAGCTCCCACTGCATGGTTTGGGAAGGAGCCCTGTGACCTTCACAACCAACACCAGATTCTCTTCACAGATTGCAGGAGGTGGGGGCGTGCTGCATAAAAGGTAGGGCCTTAGGGCCTTCATAGGTTGACCTGTGTGGGCTTCTTGAGGCATTTCGAGGCCTGGGTCAGATGGTGAGGTAAATGCTGGGTGTTGGGGGCGGGGGTCAGCACATTAGTGTTTGTGTCATTCCTTCCTGGCACCTTTAGCTGAGTAAAGGATCGGAGAGGGAGTTTGAGTTCCCAGGTCCCTAGAGAAGGCTGCCTGTGCTCGGGAAGCTGTTTTGGGATCTGTTGAGCCGTTAAAGCATCTTTATCATCTGGGAAGATGTCAGCAGGGGCAGAGCTGAAGGGGGTCTTTAGGGCTGCCATGCAGAGTGCCCCAAAAAGAACAGAGAGGCACTCTCACGGTCCTGGGGGCCAGAAGCTGAAAATCAGGGCTCTGAAACCCCTCGGGGGTCCTCCTCTGCTCCTTCCTGGCTCTGGCAGTCTTTGATGTCCTTGGCTTGTAGAAGCGTCACCCCAGTCCTACTCCTCAACACAGCCTTCTCCGTGCCGTCTCTGTCTCAATTTCCCTTTATATGTAGTCACCAGTCATAGTGGCTCAGAAAGAAAGTGAAATTTGTTTAGTCGTGTTTGACTCCTGGCGGCCTCATGGACTATACAGTCCATGGAATTCTCCAGGCCAGAATACTGGAGTGGGTAGCCTTTCCCTTCACCAGGGGATCTTCCCAACCCAGGGGTCAAACCCAGGTCTCCTGCATTGCAGGCGGATTCTTTACCAGCTCAGCCACAAGGGAAGCCCAGGAATACTGAGGGGGTAGCCCGTCCCTTTTCCACGGGATTTTCCCGACCCAGGAATCAAACCCGGGTCTCCTGCATTGCAGGCGGATTCTTTACCAGCTGAGCCACAAGGGAAGCCCAGGAATACTGAGGGGGTAGCCTGTCCCTTTTCCATGGGATTTTCCCGACCCAGGAATCAAACCGGGGTCTCTTGCATTGCAGGCAGATTCTTTTCCAACTGAGCCATCAGGGAAACACCATATTGGCTTAGGGCCCACCCTAATGACCGCATTTTAACTTGATTGCCTCCATGCAAATCCTGTTTCTAATTCAGGACACGTTCTGTGGTAGCATGGGTCAGGACTTCCGGCAGATCTTCTGTTATTCACCCCATAACACCATCCCATCTGTGGTAGTAGGACTTCATCTTGCTGTTTTCCAGAGGGACCCGTCAGTGGGGATTGTCTTCCCTGCAGTCTCCTTGAGAGAGACAGTTCACTGGGAAAGCAAGTGCCACGATGGAGGTCCGGCAGCAGAAGAAAGGTTTGGGGCTGACCGTGGGGCTTGAACCCGGTGGCCTGCTCTCCACCGCCACTTGCCTCTCCATCCATGGTGAAAATGAAGTTAGATGCCCCGGCAGGGAACCTTGTTTTTCCCCAGGGTCTGTGAACTTCTCCAGAATCTCAGACTTGGGCAGTCTAGAAAGGTTTTTAATCCAGCAGCAGAAAGAGACTGAAAATCAGTTGAGCTTCAGTCAGTGTATACCGAATGAGGAAAAATTGACAGATTAGGCTCTACCATGTTTAACCTTAGCAAAGAAATGAGAGGTGCGGTCAGCAGTGCCTGGTTCTTTTTAATGCTCTGAGGAGCCACTCATTTCCATCCTGAGGTGCTCTGTCGGAGGGGGGTGCCTGGCCGAGAGGAAGGAGTGGAGGATGGGGCTGCCCCGGTCCTCCGGGGGCTTGGCGCACGTTTCCAGAGCATCTCCAGGGCGGCTGCCGGTGGTCACAGGCGTGAGGGCAGGTTTGGAGTCGCTTGAAATGTTAAACTTCATGGAGGAAGGGACACACTGGCCAAGTCTAGTTAGACTGGTTTTTTTGTCATGGTTATAAAAGTATAAGCTGCCAGGGAAGGGGAGAGATACTCTTCATTGGAGTCACATTGAGGTGTCCCCTAGCCCATCACAGGATCTGAGCTTCTGGGTGAGGCCGGTAAGCCCATTTTCACTAGAATGCTTTCTGCGGCCAGTGTGTTGGTTTTCTTGTTTGGTGTGAAGCTTCAGTTTAAGACCTTTGTGGGGTTAGCTATCCAAATGCACATTTCTGACTTCTGCCATATCTTAACTTCTTATACTCTGATGCTGCACATTGGGCATCTCCTAACAAAACCCACATACATGCCAGGAAGCATTAGGGGGTGTTTAGATGGGTAGGCTTGCCCCAGAATGCTAGTCTATGTTTCTCTGTTTTCAGTAGCTGTATTTTAGTAGCCATATTTCCCTTCATCCTTGACACCTTCTACTAATTCTGTCAATAGAAGAATTCTTCTCTCCCCTCCCTTCATCCCTTGACGCCTTCTGTTATATTGGGAGCACGCTGTCCCATCACTCAGGCAGTGACCCAGGGTTTGGACGTGTTGATCTCGGTCTCAGATGATGCCTTTTGTTGTTGTTTAGTCGCTCAGTCATGCCTGACTCTTGTGAGACCCCATGGACCGTAGCCCACCAGGCTCCTGTGTCCATGGGATCTCCTAGGCAAGAATGCTGGAGTAGGTTGCCATTTTCTTCTCCAGGGATCTTCCCGACCCAGGGATTGAACCTGCGTCTCTTGCATTGGCACTCGAATTCTTTACCCCTGAGCCAGTGATGTCTCTGTTCCCCTCCAAAGACAGAACTCCGTGCTCCGTCTGCAGATACCTTCAGAGGCTCGTATGTGTGGAAGATAGAAAAGATTCCTTCTCTGGGGACAAGGGAACAGGCTGTTATCAACCAAAGTCAGGGTCGTGCTTAAAGTTGGAAACGTGAACTCTCACTGTAGCTGGAGCCTCATGCCCTGTGAAGATTGAAAAGCCTGGAAATACATTGACTGCAGAACAGTCAGTTTCCACGACAGTTCTAGGTGGCTCTTCAAAAGGCAGACCTTAAAAACTACTGAAGCCGGAAAGGACAACGAATTCCAGGCAAGGAAGCTGGGGAGCTCTTGCTTCTGACCCTCGCAGCCGGGGGCTCGGCCTGACATGCTCGCCTTGGTTTTGTTTTTCAAGAAGAACATGAGAAACTTTTTAAAATGGAGGATTAAATGAATATGCCACCTCCTCGAACATTGCTTTTTTTTTCCCCAAGCGTTACCAGGAAGGGGCAGGAGTGAGCTGGCTACAGCCCGCCTGACACCCTGTTTTTACGATTGCTTCACTAAATGAGTTTATTCTTTGCTCAGAGCAGTTTGAAGTGCTTTAAAATCTACTCCGTCTAATCCTCTGTTACTCTTTCAGCTTGAAGTTCTTCAAACCTGGTCAAGAAGCTGTGAAGTACCAGGGTCCCCGGGATTTCCAGGCCCTGGAAAACTGGATGCTGCAGACGCTGAACGAGAAGCTCCCCGTGAGTACACACGCGGCCACCCCTCCTCCTCCCTGCGTCTGTGGGGGGTACAGAGGCCAGGTTAGGTGCCATCCTAAAGCAGCTTTTTAGAACTCAGTGACATCATAGGTAAAGATTCACTTTTTTTTTTCTATTTTAAAAAATTTTTATAAAATACTCTATAAAATTCACCCTCTTTTTTGTACAAGTCCGTGGTATTAAATATTCTTAATGCGGTACAGCCATCCACCCACAGAAACTTTCCATCTTCCCAGTGGAAATCCGGGCTTCCGGGTGGCTCAGTGGTGAAGAACCCGCCTGCCAAGCAGGAGACACGGGTTTGATCCCTGGGTTGGGAAGAGCCCCTGGAGGAGGAAATGGCAACCCTCTCCAGTCCTCTTGCCTGGAGAATCCCGTGGACAGAGGAGCCCAATGGGCTACAGTCCATGGGATCCCAAAAGAGTCAGACACGACTGAGCGAATGGACAGCAAGCAGAAACCTTGTTCCTATTAAACACTAACTCCCCCAGCCCCTGGCACCCGTCACCCTGTATTCTGCCTCTCTGAATTTGAGTACTCCCTAAGTGCCTTAGTGGGAAAAGATGATGTTTTAGAAGCTTTTTATTCTGGAAGTGTTCAGACACGCACAGAAGTAGGAAGAGCCTGCTGCGTGGCGGGCAGGGTGCCGTGGCGGCGGCCCTGTGTGTCCACCTCTGGCCCCAGCGATGCCGACAGCTTGGTCTCCCGTCTTCCCATCCCATTTGGCTGCGGTCAGGGTCGTCGGTAGCTATTTCCGAACGCAGCCCACAGAAGCGCACTTACTACTTGCTGACACACCCTCCACTCCTGTCTCACGTGTCCTTCAAATCACGCTGATTCCTCACCACCAAAGAGGGACTCGGGGCCTCCTGGGGGCGAGGCCCCTGCTGGGGTGTCCAGTCCGGCTCAGCCCCCCTCCCCCCAACCTCCCGCTCCCCCCACTGCCTTGGGCCATACCCCCATGTGAATCTCTCCTTTCCTTCTCAGCCCCACGGCCCTAGTGGCGTTGCTGATAACAAAATTTAATGCCCTGAGCTCTCTGTGTCTTAATGGCCACCACTCCCTACTCTGAGGATATAATTGTGGAAACTATGATTTCTGAGGTTTTTTTTTTTTAATTGAACTGTAGTGACAGTGTTGTGTTACTGGGATGTTTTTTAAAGACATAGTTATGTATAGTGTGTTCCTGAGAAAAATCTGTAATCCTCAGTCCTCCAGTTGACAATAGTCTTCACCTTGTCATAAATCACGATGACCGTGAGCCCTCCACTAAGTGTCCCTTCCTTTGCGGTGCTTTCTGGTGAATGCTGAGGGCCCAGGCCTGCAGAGGCCGAGCTGGAACCTTGACGGAGCACGAAGGTGGCCAGTGTCCCCATGCTGTGCGCTTCTGATGAGGCACTGAGAGTGGGAGGGCTTTGCATGTAGTTTCCATTTCAGCGCTTGGCTCAGTCTGCGCTCTTGCATCAGGTGAGCATCCCCTGACCTGGAGCTTGTCTGGGCAATCGCAGGGGTCTTTGCTGTCCCCTTCCAGGGTGTCCATGTGTCCTTCAGCTCTCCCCTCCATTCTGTGTAGTGGGCAGAGCCGGTGAGAAACCCAGCTGCTTCCCAAGTGCTGCTTCTATGTCACATCTTTTAAAGAAGTCTCGGGGCTTCCCTGGTGGCTCGGTGGTAAAGAACCCACCTCCCAGTGCAGGAGACACGGTTTTGATCCCTGGGTATGAAAGATCTCCTGGAGAAGGAAATGGCAACCCACCCCAGTGTTCCTGCCTGGGAAATCCCATGGCCCGAGGAGCCTGGTGGGCTACAGTCCACAAGGTTGGCCACAGTCGGACACGACTGAGCACCACCACCCAGAACTGCGTGCTGAAGACCACTGGCATACGGTGTTGATCAGAGCTGTGTCTAATTTTAGGTAACAGGGAGACCACAAACCCCTCAGAGTAAATTTGCATCTTTGTCACAAGAAAGCTGGACCAGCAGGTGTAACTTTCACATAGATTTAAACTTAAAAGTTGTTTTTTGTGTGTGTGTTTTCTGGAGGGGGGAGGAAGCCCATTTTAAAGGGGAGTTCATAGTTTCCAAAAACATTTAAAATAAGTTTTTCACCAAAAAAGGCAGTCTTCTGTGATGACTGTATTCAGGAAGCCATCAGCCAGGGTCAGGATGGCAGAAAGACGTCATCTCATGAGCTGACGTCCCTTTGGGGGTGGAGTCCAGTGCACGGGCCAGGGCTGGGGACCTTGTGGCCAGGCCAAGGCTCAGTGTCGCCCACCTCGGGCCTGTCCTGGGGCTGTGGCCACACGGACCCCACCCTGGACCTGTCACCCCCCTGCCGTATCTTGGCGTCAGAGCTGTGGGCATTGCTGAAAATGATGCTAGGCTGGCTTATTACAGAAAAATTGAAGTATTTAGACTTCATGTTACAAACCAGAATTCTTCTCAGTATGAATTTTGCTGCATGTTTTAAGTGAAAGCTTTTAAAAAAAAACTTCTATGAAAGTGTTGGTCTCTCAGTCATGTCCAGCTCTTTCTGACTCTGTGGGCTGTAGCCTGCCTCTGTCCCTGGGATTCTCCAGGCAAGAATACTGGAGTGGGTTGCCATTTCCTCTCCAGGCGATCTTCCCGACCCAGGGATTGAACCTGAGTCTCCTGCATTGCAGGCAGATTCTTTGCCATCTGAACCACCAGGGAAGCCCTTCTGTATTTATACCTAAATAACTTAATATATACATTTTCCTATTTAAACAGGATAAATTTAAGGTTTTCCCTCCTATTATTATGGTAGTATATTAAAGTCAAGGGAAATCTGCTATTTCTCACCTTCTACTCCAATTTTTATATTTCTATGTTTCCTTCTGTATTTTTTCCTTAAGTAAGTCATCATCAGACATGGTTCATTTCATTAATGATTTTTTATATAGTTGAATCATCGTTACAGTGATCATATTTTATCTTGTAGATATGCCAAAATTCAGCCCTTTTCTGTCATTGGATATTTAGGTTGCTGTTAATTTTCCATCATCAGACCGCTGTAATAAGGAACATTTTTATCTTCGTAAAAGACTTTTTTCCCTACTTTGGAGTGACTTTTTTAGAATATAGATCCAAACATAACATTGCAAGGCAAAAAATAAAAAAGCCAGACTACTTGTAGAGCTCCTGGTGAGTAGTGCCGAGTTGCTTTCTTTTTTAACAAATGTCTTTATTTTTGGCTGTGCCAGGTCTTCAGTGCCGCGCGGGCTCTTCTCTGGTTGAGGCAAGGGGGTTCTCTCCAGTTTCAGGGCACAGGCCTCTCGCCGCAGGGGGCTTCTTGCCGGGGGGGCGTCTCGCGCGGCTGGGGCCCCTCTCGCCGCAGGGGGCTTCTTGCCGGGGGGGATCAGCTCCAGAGCACACGCTCAGCAGCTGTGGCGCACGGGTGTAGCTGCTCCTCTGCACGGGGGATCTTCCCAGACCAGAGATCAAGCCNCTCTCGCCGCAGGGCCTTCTTGCCGGGGTGGCGTCTGGCGCGGCGGGGGCCCCTCTCGCCGCAGGGGGCTTCTTGCCGGGGGGCATCAGCTCCAGAGCACACGCTCAGCAGCTGTGGCGCACGGGTGTAGCTGCTCCTCTGCACGGGGGATCTTCCCAGACCAGAGATCAAGCCCGTGTTTCCTGCAGGGGCAGGTGGATTCTTGACCACTGGACTGCCAGGGAAGCCCCAAGTTGCTTTTTTAAGACTCTTAAGCCCATGCTGTCCCCAGCTTGGGGACGGTACCCATTCTGTGATACACTGTGAAGTTCCTGTAATGATCATCTATCTTTACCTGCCATGGAACAAGGACCAAAGACGTGCTCCTTTGGTGCCAGAATCAGGCGTTTTACCACCGCAGGCCCTTTGAACACCTCATACACAGCGACATCCAGTCTTCTCTTTCACTTTGTTGGACCTCACTGACTGTCCCTTAGCCATCACTCTCTCAGACATCCTTTTGTGTGGGTCCTTAGCACTTAATGCAAACGGAGCATGAAAGTCGAGCCAGCAGCAGAAAGCTTCATGTGGCTCTTCAGTCGCTCAGTCGTGTCCGATTCTTTGCGACCCAGTGAACTACAGCACACCAGACTTCCTTGTCCTTCAACAACTCCCAGAGCTTGCTCAAACTCATGTCCATGAGTCAGTGATGCCACTCAACCATCTCATCCTCTGTCATACCCTTCTCCTTCTTCCTTCAATCTTTCCCAACATCAGGGTCTTTTCTAATGAGTCAGCTCTTCGCATCAGGTGGCCATACTATTTGAGCTTCAGCATCAGTCCTTCCAATGAATATCCATATTTAGGATGGACTGGTTGGATCTCCTTGCATTCCAAGGGACTCTCAAAAGTCTGCTGCAACACCACAGTACAGAAGCATCAATTCTTCAGTGCTCAGCCTTTTTTATGGTCCAACTCTCACATCCATACATGACTACTAGAAAAACCATAGCTTTGACTATACAGACTTTTGTCAGCAAAGTAATGTCTCTGCTTTTTAATATGCTGCCTGTGTTTGCCAAAGCTTTGCTTCCAAGGTGCAAGTGTCTTTTAATTTCATGGCTGCAGTTGCCATTTGCCGTGATTTTCGAGCCCCAAAAATAACATGTGTCACTGTTTACCTGTCTGTTTTCTATGAAGTGATGGGACCAGATGCCATGATCTTAGTTTTTTAAGTGTTGAGTTTTAAGCCAGCTTTTTCACTCTCCTCTTTCACCTTCATCAAGAGGCTCTTTAGTTCCTCTTGATTTTCTGCCATAAGGGTGGTGTCATCTGCATATCTGAGGTTACTGATTTCCAGCTTGTGCTTCTTCCAGCCCAGCACCTCTGCTCGTGTACTCGGCATGCAAGTTAAATAAGCAGGGTGACAATATACAGCCTTGACGTAGTACCTCTTTCCCAATTTGGAACCAGTCTGTTGTTCCACGTCCATTTCTAACTGTTGCTTCTTGAGCTGCACACAGATTTCTCAGGAGGCCAGTAAGGTGGTCTGGTATTCCCATCTCTTTAAGAAGTTCATTGTGATCTACACAACGGCTTTAGCGTTGTCAATGAAGCAGAAGTAGAAAACTTCATGGTGCTTTACAATTACAACTCTGTCCAACTGAGCTCTCAGCATTTTGAAAGCTTCTAATGACTTAATTTGGATATTCATTTTAATGGAAATACAAACCCCTAGATCAGAACTGAATAACAGACACCCACATGTCTGCAGGATAGTGATGTCTCAGTGATCATCTCTTCACCTCTGCTTGCTCTGGTTGGACGCCACAGGTGTGTTGGCTTAAAAGGAAATGGAGACATCTGGGATGGTGTGGTTTGGTGGTTAGTAGTTAGCTGTCACACTGGTGTCTGCGCAGGTACTGGAGAAGTGCCTTTAAAAAAGCCACTTGTCTCTTCACTGTTTCTGTTCCAAACTTAGTCCCATGAATTACATTCTTAAAAGTGCAGCCCAAGTTTGCTCTGTGGTTTTTCTCTCTGTGGCCTTTCATCCGTCCAAATTTTCCCTCTTGTCACCTTTTTTCTTTTACCAGCTCTTCGGAGTTTCACCTCCCATCCTGGCTTTCCCTACTGTTGCTGTGCCTGAAGGGTGGCTGGGTCCGCCTTCCCCTCTGTGTGTCTTGGTGCCTCTCGCTTCTGTGTTCTGCCAGCCGCCTTGGGTCTCCTCTCCAAGAACCGGGCGGGGTGCTAGTTTGGGACGGCCCGCCCTGCGGTTTGTCTGCTCTGTTGGGTTGGGTTGGAGGGCAGCAAAGGACGGAGGGAGCGCTGCTGGCTGTCACCTGGTTGCCCTGGAGCATCAGTCCTACAGCACTTGCCAGGGGGCCTCTTGCCCTGATCAAGGTGCTTCCTGCCTCGGGCGCACCTCCACACAGCAGCATCCCCCGGAGGCTGGAGGCGGCCGGGGGAGGGAGGAGAGCGCAGAAGGTTCCAGGCAGAAGCCGTGATGGGCTCCCCGGTCCCTCAACACACACCCATGGCGACTCTTGTTCCGTCTCCCCCATCAGACTCCAGAGCCCACGGAGGAACCGCCCCCCGCCCCCGCCCCCGAGCCCAAGCAGGGCCTGTATGAGCTCTCGGCCGGCAACTTCGAGCTGCATGTGGCGCAAGGTAGGTGGGCGGGCGCGCGCCTGGGGGCGGGGCTGCGCCCCGGGGGGGCGGGCCGACCTGCCACGTGGCCGGGGCTGCTGCTCTCGCTGCTCTGCTCGAGGGCTCGGAGGCCACTGCATGGGTGGTGGTCGTCCAGGATTTCCCTCATCTAGCCCCGCCGACACCCGTGTCTGGCATTCTTCCTCTCGGAGATTATGTCTCCATCCATTGGAGAGGCCGGTTCTGGTGCCAGGCTGAAGCCTCCGGTGTGCGAAGCGCACACGTCGGGACTGCGTGCACCTACCTAATTTGTGCACAGGCTGGACCTGCGCCGTTGGATGGTGAAATGTTTGTTTCTGTTAGTCTTAATCGTGTACTTACTGACCTGAGGCAGAAACAAAGGTGTACCTGTTTAAAGCAGAATTTAGTTGGGACCGTTGTCACACACAAATCAGGATAGGTGTTCTTCACCCTTAACCACTTTTCTGACACCACATGTTCGTCTCCTCAATGTCAGAGTGACCCGAGCACAGTTTCTGACGTTAGTAATGTGCGTTAAGACCTCTCTACGCACGCTCAGAAGCCTCAGCTCAGCAGTGAAGGGCTTGAACAGGAATCCAGCTGCCAGGCTGACCTCCGCTCTCAGATGCTGCCTTGGAGAGAGATCCTCCGTGCGACTGAGGCAGAACTGTTCGGAAAAAGGGCTTAAAATTGTGTCAGGCCTTGGGGGTCCTGCCTGCTGGGAGTGAAAACCCACCTGCTCCAAGGCTGGAATCATTTGTTCTGATGCCTGCAGCCACGTTCCATTTTTAATTAAAGGTCATTGTTGGTCCGCTGCTCTGGGAGTGGACCTTCAGGGTTTCTGTCTTCCGGGAGTCGCTTTGAGTCGGGCTTGGACTCCCCGCAGGTTGTGTTACCAGAACTGGCCAAAGCGCAGCCCCGACCCTGAGTGGATCACCTGCCGAGGGGCCGGGTCTGCCGGGAAAGCGGTGCCCCGCCGGCCCTGACCCCGCTCCCCTTGAGGCTCCTGGACATTCTGGACCCTCTGTCTCCACCTCACAGCTCAGGATGGTGAGGGGCCTGTCTGGGGAGACATGGTTCCAGCCTTCCAGACCAGCTGCTAACATATATATATATATATATTTCGTTTTTGTAAAAGAACTGAGGTACAGTTGGTACAAAATATTGACTGTCAAAGCAAGTTTCCCCCACCTCCCTCAGATACCTCCCTGCCACGCTGACCAGATGCCCCGTGAGCATCACCTTGGTGAGCCTGACTCGGAGCGTGGGTCCTGTTAGGGCCGCTGGTCTCCTCTCCCTGCCTGCAGCCTGACGCCTTTCTTGGCCCTAGGCTGGTCAAGGTCAGGAGCCTAGATAAAAGTCCAGTCTCTCAGTCATGATATGGTTTACTTACTAGCCAAGAGAGTGATACTCAAGTCTTAGTTGTTTTTTTTAATCTTCTATTTTATTGTGAAAAGCCAGATAGAGAAAGCAGTGTCGGGGCAGTGACTGGTCCCAAAGCGGTCACCCTGTAGCCACTGTCCAGCTCGAGCCCTGGCCCCCCTCTCCCCCCGAGGGGCCGCCGCCTGACCACGCGGAAACCACCACTTGCTCTGCTTTCTGGTTTCATCACCCAAGTGTGCCCTACAGCAAGCAGTTCAGTCTGCTCTCCCTCTCTGCTTTTTAAATCTCTCTCTCTCAGTCTCTGTTCCCTCAACTCTCTTCCTGGCCTTCTAGAAGTTTGCTGAGCACACAGACGACCTGACCTGCATGGTGCCCGCCGTGGGGACTTGTCAGGTTCCCAGGGTGTGGAGCACAGCTTCCCTGGCCCCGGGCCCTCATGTCTCTATTCCCTGTGAGCTGGCAGTTGGATCTAAGGCCCTTTTCGCTTTGTGTTTGATGTTTTGAGGGGTGTGAGCGTGACTGCATGGCTGGACAGTCTCTGATGTCAGCAGCCTTGCTCATCACTGCCTAGATCCGTAATTCACCAGAGATGCCGGCCAACACCACTGCTGAAATGATAGCGTCCCTTCTTTATTTTTTTTTCAGCAAGAGGTAACTGGCCCTTGTTTATCACTCTGTTATCCGGAGTGCAGTTCATCTCAGGAAAGACAGGCTATAAAGTGCCTGTTTCTTTCCCTTTATTGCCAGTTTTCCAAATAATGAGTTGGTTCCCTGGTGTCCTTCAAAGGTGACAAATTCCTTTCTAAGGATGGTCATGAACTCAGGGATAGAGATATATTTGATGGGGAGTCACTTCTTACCAGTTGAAGGGTTCATCCTGAGTTGAGCTTTGCAGGAAGACAGAGCTGACACATGCCTATTCTGTCTGTGTGGGTGGCTGTAAATCACTGTCTCCCCCTCCCCACCTTCTCCCCCTGAAGGAGACCACTTCATCAAGTTCTTCGCCCCATGGTGTGGTCACTGCAAAGCTCTGGCTCCGACCTGGGAGCAGCTGGCTCTGGGCCTTGAACATTCCGAAACTGTCAAGATTGGCAAGGTGAGTGAGCGCCCCTATTAAACTGGAAATAGATGGCCTTTGGCTGGATTAATTAGCCGAGTAGCCCATTATTCATTCTGTGCGTGTTGTTGCAAACTTGATTTATTAATTCCATTTAGCGTGCCACTTGATAATTCATTTCACTTTCACAGATGGCAACCTGGTTTTGAGAGTGCTGGCTTTTCCACATTCTAGAGATTAAAATTAGGGCTTTGGCTCCTTGGCTTATTTTGAAGCAGTGGCCGGTTCTGGATTGGCAGCCCCAGAAGCCTTTCTGCCAAGTCCTGGGACGGAGCCGTAGAGAATGTTCACTGGATGCCCTCGGAGACCATCCACCCTGGGTCTCACCCAAGAGCTGGTTCCTAAAGGACCTCAGCTCCACGCCCAGCTGGGGTACGAAAGACCCACCCAAAGTGAGCCCCACCTGCTCACCCTGCTGCCGGGAATCCTTTCCTGCTTCACGTGGGCAAGGCAGAAGTGGAGCCTAACCACTGGGTTTTTCAGTTTTGTCTTTTTATTATAGTCCAAATACTCCTATTTAAAATTGATGACTTTTTTCCTTTTGCTCTTAAAACACTGTAAGCTTGAACCTGAGAAGACATTTTTCCCATCGAAGTACTTAACCAGTCTCTATGCTGCTTAGCTCTTGAGATCAGACCAGATCGGGCATGTTGAGGGTGGTCTGGCTGCAGACCTGAGGACATTTTTCAGCTTGCTTTGTGACTGGCGGGGCGGGGGGGTCGTCTCTGTCCCCATCAGCAGGCCATACCCTCTCCAGGTGTTAGGGTAGGGTCCCTTTTTCCACCTGTTAACCTGCTTAGGGTAAACGATCGCTTCCTAAAAGCTGGCGTTTTTAAGTGAGTGAAAGTAAGTTGCGTCTCTGAAGGCCATCTCATTCCCCTGCCCACTCTGCTCAGGGGCATTTGAGCAGCTGTTGGGAGAGGTCTCTCTAGAAGCTGCAGACGCTGCCCATGGGGGATTTGAGTAGTTTTCTTTCTGAAAATGCTGAGTGTCCGACAGATGGTTGGTCAGGAAGGCCCTCGGAGAGACTGACTGGGCATGCGGTCTTTCTCTCCAGGTGGACTGCACGCAGCATTACGAACTCTGCTCAGGAAACCAAGTCCGAGGTTATCCTACGCTCCTCTGGTTCCGAGATGGCAAAAAGGTACGCCTTGGGGTCTCCGTGTGGAGACGAGAGGTGTGTCTTTGCCCCAGGTGAGCTGTCGAGTGGGTTAAGAGGGCACGGCAGCCCACTCCAGTGGGCTGGGATTCTCCAGGCGAGAATCCCCGGGGACAGGGGAGCCTGGCGGGCTGCAGTCTGTGCGACAACAGAGCCGGGAGCGGCTGAGCTCATCGGCCCAGCTGCCAGCACAGGTTGTTCGGGCTCTGGTTTAAAGGCACGCGTCACGGGACGAGAGGCTCTTGGTCTTCCCTAGTGAGATCTGACGGTTGAGAGGAACCACCAGGTGTTAACACGCAGCACTACAGGCTCAGGTTATCTTTAGAGCAAGCTGAATCCACAGTCCTGTTCCACTGTTCTGGTCCCAAGGGGGGTCAGCGTCTGCTGCATCCCTGGCCGATGGACAGCACCCAGGCCTGGTGACCCTTGATTCTTCCGAAGGAAGGCCCTGTCAAGCTGTCTGCTCAGAGCAGAGCTTCGGTTGATCATTTATGCTTTGCCTTGATGTTTGAGCAGCAGACACCACGGGGCCGGGACCCCCAGAGGGAGACGTCTGAGGGCACGGGTCCCGGGCGGGCAGGGGGAGGCCCCTCAGCCCTGACGTGTGCCCGTGCCCCGACAGGTGGACCAGTACAAGGGCAAGCGGGACCTGGACTCACTGAGGGAGTACGTGGAGTCACAGCTGCAGGGCGTGGGGCGGGCCGCCCCGGAGCCCGCCCAGCCCTCGGAGGCCCCGGCACCGGCCGCCGAGCCCGCGGCCGACCAGGTGGGTGCCCGCCAGGGACGCTGTGGGGACAGCCCGCGGCCCACGTTTTGGGACCGTTCTTCCCTTGGATTCAGTCATCGCTGCCCTTGTGTCAGCGAACAGATGAGGGGCCACTGGGTATTTGCCGGAGGGGCTGCCCCGATGGGCGGGGGTCAGCTGGCCGTGTCCGGGACAGCACGGGAGGGCAGGGCGAGGAGGACAAGGCCGCTGTGTGTGGGAGAGGCGGCGGCCACTGCGCCAGGAAGGTCTTTGCAGCCCGCAAGGGTCTTAGGTCTGCAGGGAGCCCGTGGCGGGCTTGGAGCAGACGGGGACTTGAAGAAAGCTGCCCGGCTGAAGTCCGTGTAAAGGAGATGGGAAAGGGTTGTATCTGGAGGTGGGCGGCGTTGGGCCCCTGCGGCCGAGGCGAGTCCCAGCTCCAGCAGCGCATCGGGGTGGTGGGGAGCCTGGCCAGGGACACGGGGCAGGCGCTGGGGCGCCCAGGGGATGGTGCACCGAGCTCAGGGCCCAGTTCTCCGGGCTGGGCGGGGTGTGCGTCTGAAGCCAATGTCTGTCTCCTGGGATTAGTTGGGTCCCATGGCTGCAGCTTTACATAGACGCCGAAGCCAGGGGTGGGAATGAGATTATTTGAGGAGTCAGAATCGTGTTTGCTCAGCTCAGTTCCTAAATGGAATCCTCGTGTTGCTGATTCAGTCCACACGATGGGGAACCTCGGTCCTGGGGAGGATGCCCTGCCCCCGCCCCCCCAGTGACCGTCCAGCCTGAGTGGTCACAGGGCGGTCGTGACTGGCTGCAGTCACCACACCCTGAGGCCAGGCCTCTGTGCTTGGAAAACCAGGGGCCACCTACCCCTCCTCCCCGCGTGGGGCCGCGGTGGGCCTCCCCCGCCCTGAGCAGGAACCTCGGCGCCTGGGGACTGTGTGGATGTTGGTTAAACGACGTTTTGGTTTAAGAAGTAAACAAATGATTTTGTAGTTACGGACCCTGTGTCAGGGGGAGTGTGTGTCACAGTGGTTCTAAAGGTCATCCCAGATCCAGTCTAATTATACACTGTGATGTTTTCATCAAGCCCAGACGGTTTCTATTTATAATCATTTTCCAGCATTAAGATCTTTCGGGGAGTGTGGTCACCTCTCCGGACAGAACGGTGGCAGGTCCCGACGGCCTCCTGGGCGCTGACACCAGGACCCCGTGCCAGACCCGAGGGGGCGGCCGTGGTGCCGCAGTCACATGACGCATGCCGTGTTCTTGCTCCCATGTGAGGCTCGCAGGTCCACTTTTGGAGGAGCGGATACAATTCCCGTAAAGAACCATCCGGATGGAAGCTCTTTAGAGCAGACTGCCTCGCGGCCCCTTTGTCCTGAATTCTCCAGAGTTCAGATTGAGCAGTTTTCACATTAACTTTGAATTTTAAGACGGAAAGCAGCCTGTTATCTGTAAAACACATCAGTGCCTGTGCTTCTCTTAAGGTCCTTAGAGAAGAAACTCTCTTTATGAACCAGCGAGAAGAGCAACATGTGTCCAGAGTTCAGGGAGGCCAGGCAGTTTGGACTTGGGTCAGTGTTGGGGGCTCCAAGCCGGCGAGGTGCAGACCGAGGGTGGCCCGCCCCGCCGTCCGGCATCTCCTGGGCACCGGACCGTGGGCCCGGTGATTAGTCACTGCTGTTGTGTGAAAGGCGAGCTGCGCGGGTGTCTGTGTGTGGCCTTGGAGCACACATCACACCATTTTACAGACGTCTGGCTCGTATTTCCGGGGTCTCGGAACTTGACCCAGGCTGCTGCACCTGCTGTATTTGAGTGTGGCTTTTTCCTACCCAGGGCACCGTGTTGGCACTGACGGAGAGGAACTTCGATGACGCCGTCGCAGAAGGCATAACCTTCATCAAGTTTTATGCTCCATGGTAAGTGGCTGTTGGTCAGAAACTGCTGTCGTCATGCCCTCAGGTCACATCCTGACTTGCCGCGCTCACGCTGAGCCTCCAGCCTCAGTGTTGTGGGCACATACCATGCTGACACATAGTCGTGCTTTCAGGGAAAAGGAAGTGTTACCACCTGGCTCCTGGATTCAGGCAGGTGGAAGTTTGGTGTGTGGAGGAGGAGGTCAAGCTCAGTCTACTTTGGAGAAAACATTAAAAACAGCAGATGGTTATCACAGCCAGCATCAGGCTGAAGTTGAGTGGGACCTGGGTGCTCTTCCCCATAGACGGCCCTTGCAGTGCAGCCTTGACCCTTCGTCTCTGGATGCTGGAACTCGGGTTGCCGCTGGGCCGTGCAGCCCCGAGCGTCCCGGGGCCTTTGGGGAATGGAGCAGAGGTGGGGGCTGCTCCAGGCCGCGGAGCCGGAGGCGGCGGGGACACAGCGGGCTCCGGGCCGTGCCTCGCCCCTGCGACCCTGGCAGCCCCTTAGATCTCTGGAGCCCAGTCTCCTCAGCTGTGACGTGGGAGGAGAGCGTGGTCTTGAAACAGCCCATTTGGAAAAAACGTGGAGGAGAATGTAGGCTCCTGACGTTACAGACAAGTATCGTCACCACGGTCACTTCTGCTCCTCCGTTTGTTTCGTTCCAAGTGCTTACGAGTAACCGCTGCGGAGCATGTGACTCGGAGCTGTCTGTTCTTCGTAAAGAATAGAAACACGAGTAAATAATGCCTTTAAAACTGTCAGGTGTTTCCAGTGTTTTGGTAAACCTCCAGCTGTGCAGATCGAGTGTAAGGACAGCAGATCGTAGAGGGGAAGGGGGGTTGGAACGGGGCTCAGGGCCTCCCTGCTCACAGCGCATCGCCGAAGCCTCAAGGAAGCTTCGAATTGTCTTGAATATTTCAGACCATAAGAAATCGAACCTGCTTTTGGTATTCAAGTGATTGTTTTTTTAAAAAGTGTCTCATTTCCAGTTCATCTCCTCCTGTTCATGGTACACTCATAAACCAGGGAGCCCGCGGTTTCCTGCAGAGAAGGTCTCAGAGCTAAACCTTGTTCTCAGACTGTGTTGTGTCTGTCCGGTTATCTGAATGCCGCCTCGGGTTTGGATTCGGGGATGAGGGCGGGGAGGAGGGAACGCTGATGCGCCGGCAGGAGAGGTGGACGTTTATAAACTCGGGCCCAGGAGGCCGTCTGGGCAGCGGCGCGTGGCTGAGTAGACCCGGCACCTCAGCGGCCTGTCACGTTCTGTCCCCAGGTGCGGGCACTGCAAGGACCTGGCCCCGACCTGGGAGGAGCTCTCCAAGAAGGAGTTCCCTGGCTTGGCGGAGGTCACCATCGCCGAGGTGGACTGCACTGCTGAACGCAGCCTCTGCGGCAAGTACTCGGTGGGTCCGCGGGGCCTCATCCCAGGTCACTCAGGCTGCGCTCATCCTCTCACCAAAGTGTGTGTGTCCTTCTGAGAGTCTTGAGGTTTTTTCTTTCTCATTTGAAAAGCAAAAGAGCTGCTCTCCCAAAAGAAAGGCTTTCCTCTGTGAGCGCACATGATTCTGTGGTGGTGGGTGGGGGTGAGGCTTTCCTACCTGGCTGGAGGCTGGGCCACCACCTGCAGGACCATTCTCGTTGGCCAGCAGGCAGCTGGCGCGTCGCCTTCCTCGTAAACGCCTGAGGAGCTTGCTTTTCAGACACGAGGCGGCGCTCCGTTGAGGAGGTGTTCGATCCTACACTTTCCCGCTGGGAGGGCTGCACCAGCAGGGTCGGCGTGTGGCTTGGCTTCTTCATACAGCTGTTGCCTTTTCCCATGCTGTTAGCACCATCAGATAGCCTAGAACACTTGCGATTTCTGTTTTTCAACTTGTTTTCGTAAAACACTTCTGAGGCCTCTGGAGTTTATTAGAAGAGATAATAGCACAGACGTCATCTGCTTGCTAGAAGACAGTGTGTCTGTGTTTTAAAGAGAAAAGAGGTGAGCCGTGGCAGACAGGTGCAGCGTGTCAGGCCCCCGCCAGCCGCACCAGCTCCCCAGGGCTGGTGTGAAAGTCCAAGCCGCCGGTTCAGGGTAAAGCCCCTCCTCGATGCTAATCTTGAAAGTGTTTCGTTTGGGTTTGAAAACTGAAACAGAGCCTCAAGGCTCTGCTTTCTGCAGCCTCCGGTCGTTTTCTGAGGGTCTGTGTGCTCTGAAAATCTAGCTGTAGACTTCCTTGAGCACAACTCCAGGATCTTCTCTGACTATCCTTGATTCAGGCTGTTCTTTAAGCTTTGCTTTTCTTTAAGGTACGAGGCTATCCCACATTGCTGCTCTTCCGAGGAGGAGAAAAGGTGAGCGAGCACAGCGGGGGCCGCGACCTGGATTCCTTGCACCGCTTCGTCCTGCGTCAGGCGAAGGATGAGCTGTGAGCCCGGCTGGATGCCACCTCCCGCCTGGCCCTGGGCACGACGGGGCGCCGTCCCGGCTTCCCTGCAGCAGTGACTCAGAGATCCGAATGTACTAAACTCGTGCTATCTTCTCTGTGTGTGTTTTTAAGCCAACACACCCTACAGATTCTTAAGTTTCTCTAAGTAAATGTGTAACTCACGATCCCTTTGCAAACTAAATATTTTCGGTGGCGACCTACCATCCGTTCCCTGCTTTAATCTGCTCTTGGTGAAATCAAAATGGTTTCCTTTGAGACTAAAATAGAGTCAAGGAAAACCCAATTGCCAGACTACTCTTGGCTCCTGATTCTGGTGACAGCGTCATCCAAAGCATGGTTTTCAAAGGGCCCAGGAGTCCTTGCCTTGTGGCCCTGTTGAGTTGCTTTGATCACATGACTTGTTCCTAAGGTGGCTGGTCCATAGCTTGGAGCGGATTTAACACACAAACCCCCGATGCCTGTGGAAGAGCCACTTTTCCAGCCCGTCCTGGACCTGTCTCTGCGGGTGCCTCTCACGGAGGGTGGTGAGCCGCCGTGAAAGCCGTGGTACCCCTGACATGTGCCTGAGTAAGATAGTGCCGCTGCCATAGCCTCGTGTGGGTGTTGACACTTGACCGATTGCTTATTACTGTTCAAGGAATACTTGTCTCCTGAAAGATTTCATTAGGGGATGTGAAGCCAGAGTCCCTATGAATGTCAGGAGTCACGGTCTCTTGTTGAAACTGTATGTAGGAAGTTCCACACAGCTCGTCGTGACCCTTCTAAGAACTCCTAGGAAGGTTCTGATTGTCTCTGCCCCCCAGGAGGGGGCAGGAGGGCTGCACGAACTCTCCCAGGTCAGGTATCAGGGACCGGGGACACCCCGCGGCTCCACAGCGGAGCCCAGACCGGAAACAGCAGCAGGTGGCGGTCTGCCTTCCGGGAGGCCGCCCGCCCGTCTACTGTAGGCAGAGGGGATCGACTTGCCCTCCAGACCAAGGCAGGCGGGGCTGCAGTCGGCCACGTCCCTGGCGTCCTGAGTCACGCCATCCTGGGTATGAAGCCTTTTTATCATCGCCCTTGGAAATCAGCCGGCCGTAGGCCTAGGCTCCTTTAAGGTTAGTCGTCCTGCTAACACCCTTTGCCCCAGCGCCCTTGCTCAGGCGACATGGCCGCTTAGCACAGAGTGCCTGATGGTAAGAACCTGGGAAACGAGACCCCGTCTGCTGTCTGCAGCAGACGGTAACAGCAGGGTCCCGGCCAGCCTCTGCCTTAAAGGAAATCTTTATTAATCATGTATGGTTCACAGATGTTCTTTTTAAAAAAAAACAAAACCCCAACTTTCTAGAGAAGCACAATCCTCATGAGTGGCTTCAGCTTTGCATTATGAGTCTTGTTTTAAAAGAAAACCAGAAAATCAAAGTGGTACAATTTGTTTACACTATGATACTTTCTAAATAAACTTAAAAAAAAAAAAAAAGTCTGGTCTTTCCTTAAATGTTACAGCAAAACATATAAAATAGACAATAAATTATAGTTTCTATTTACAAAAAAGCTGTAAGTGCAGATATATATCATAAATGTATTATTTAATCAGTTTAGTATGAAATTGGTTTCCTAGTACATGATCATGAAAAAGACATCTTAAAAACATTCTCATATTTGATCTGAGTCTCATTTTCAACACCGTGATTTTGATTTCCAACCCACATGCCTGTCCTAACCCCTTCCTAAGTCTGGATGACTTAGAAAGTCCTCAGCCTGGCACCTCTACTGGTTTAACCCCTTGACGCAGGACGCTGTCCCGTCAAAGAACCGCATTACCAACCCAGAAGAGGTGATGGTCCTGACGTAAATGAGCTTTTCAGAGAGCCAGCCCCCACAGGAAGGGGTGCGGATGGGTCACTCGGTTAAAGGATGGCTTTAAAAAGACTTCTCTCTTCCGTGGAGCCTCCCCCTCAAAGAGGGGGGTCACTCCTATCTCTGCTTTTGGTCCTAGCACAAAACAGCAAATGCCGGGGCGAGGACAGGGGTAAAGGATCTAGTTTAACTGAAATAAGTATATTCTCACACCAACAAAACGCCCACACGTGACAGCAAGACTGAGACAAAAGGCACGCAGTTGCAGGCCGCCCAGCGGAGACCCGTGTTCCCGGGGCCAGATCTGAACACAGGGCCGACCTTCCTGTGATCTGCAAACTCTGCCTTTGAGAAACTACTGAACCCGCTGATATTTGAGCCAAAGAAGACTTTTACTTCAAGATTATTTTCCCTATTTACTCTCTAAAACCACAAGGAGCTTGGATGGTGGTGAGCCGCCGTGAAAGCCGTGGTACCCCTGACATGTGCCTGAGTAAGATAGTGCCGCTGCCATAGCCTCGTGTGGGTGTTGACACTTGACCGATTGCTTATTACTGTTCAAGGAATACTTGTCTCCTGAAAGATTTCATTAGGGGATGTGAAGCCAGAGTCCCTATGAATGTCAGGAGTCACGGTCTCTTGTTGAAACTGTATGTAGGAAGTTCCACACAGCTCGTCGTGACCCTTCTAAGAACTCCTAGGAAGGTTCTGATTGTCTCTGCCCCCCAGGAGGGGGCAGGAGGGCTGCACGAACTCTCCCAGGTCAGGTATCAGGGACCGGGGACACCCCGCGGCTCCACAGCGGAGCCCAGACCGGAAACAGCAGCAGGTGGCGGTCTGCCTTCCGGGAGGCCGCCCGCCCGTCTACTGTAGGCAGAGGGGATCGACTTGCCCTCCAGACCAAGGCAGGCGGGGCTGCAGTCGGCCACGTCCCTGGCGTCCTGAGTCACGCCATCCTGGGTATGAAGCCTTTTTATCATCGCCCTTGGAAATCAGCCGGCCGTAGGCCTAGGCTCCTTTAAGGTTAGTCGTCCTGCTAACACCCTTTGCCCCAGCGCCCTTGCTCAGGCGACATGGCCGCTTAGCACAGAGTGCCTGATGGTAAGAACCTGGGAAACGAGACCCCGTCTGCTGTCTGCAGCAGACGGTAACAGCAGGGTCCCGGCCAGCCTCTGCCTTAAAGGAAATCTTTATTAATCATGTATGGTTCACAGATGTTCTTTTTAAAAAAAAACAAAACCCCAACTTTCTAGAGAAGCACAATCCTCATGAGTGGCTTCAGCTTTGCATTATGAGTCTTGTTTTAAAAGAAAACCAGAAAATCAAAGTGGTACAATTTGTTTACACTATGATACTTTCTAAATAAACTTAAAAAAAAAAAAAAAGTCTGGTCTTTCCTTAAATGTTACAGCAAAACATATAAAATAGACAATAAATTATAGTTTCTATTTACAAAAAAGCTGTAAGTGCAGATATATATCATAAATGTATTATTTAATCAGTTTAGTATGAAATTGGTTTCCTAGTACATGATCATGAAAAAGACATCTTAAAAACATTCTCATATTTGATCTGAGTCTCATTTTCAACACCGTGATTTTGATTTCCAACCCACATGCCTGTCCTAACCCCTTCCTAAGTCTGGATGACTTAGAAAGTCCTCAGCCTGGCACCTCTACTGGTTTAACCCCTTGACGCAGGACGCTGTCCCGTCAAAGAACCGCATTACCAACCCAGAAGAGGTGATGGTCCTGACGTAAATGAGCTTTTCAGAGAGCCAGCCCCCACAGGAAGGGGTGCGGACGGGTCACTCGGTTAAAGGATGGCTTTAAAAAGACTTCTCTCTTCCGTGGAGCCTCCCCCTCAAAGAGGGGGGTCACTCCTATCTCTGCTTTTGGTCCTAGCACAAAACAGCAAATGCCGGGGCGAGGACAGGGGTAAAGGATCTAGTTTAACTGAAATAAGTATATTCTCACACCAACAAAACGCCCACACGTGACAGCAAGACTGAGACAAAAGGCACGCAGTTGCAGGCCGCCCAGCGGAGACCCGTGTTCCCGGGGCCAGATCTGAACACAGGGCCGACCTTCCTGTGATCTGCAAACTCTGCCTTTGAGAAACTACTGAACCCGCTGATATTTGAGCCAAAGAAGACTTTTACTTCAAGATTATTTTCCCTATTTACTCTCTAAAACCACAAGGAGCTTGGATCTAAAACAGTAACTGATTTCGGTGGGTTTGGGGAGGGTGCAGAGGGGAACCCTTCCAAATTACGTTTCTGCAGCCCCGAGACTACAGACGCTTCAGCACTGCTTCCTAGAGCCCGACGGCTACTCACAACGGTCATGGTGTGAGCAAGGGGCGGACGGGGTCCCTCCAGACCTGTGTCAGGCGGAAAGGCCGCCGCCAGGCCAAGGTGGCGGCGGCGTCGCCTCCTTCGTCCCGGGGGCCTCCATGGGCTCCTCGAGGCAGACGTGCGTGATCCAGGAGTCCAGGCAGCGTGCAGAGCGTCCCCAGCCGCTCGCCCCGAGTCAGTGGCAGCCGCACGCTCGGACCACCATGTTTCTGTACTTCTTTAGGATGACGTTGGAGTTGTCGTCGAAGTAGAGCACCGAGATGGCGTTGAGCTTCGTGGGCGCACAGCACGGCTTGGGGACGTACTCGGGGTTCATGAGGTGAACCTGTTGCGGAGACGGGAGGAGGGGGCAGTTAGGGACAGTCCCTGGCCCCGGCTGACCCCCCGCCCCCTGCCACCCGTGGCGTGGAGCCAGCCAGCGCTCACCAGGGTCTGCACGATGGCGTGGTTGGTGGCGTTCATGTGCGCGTTGAGAGGGAACGAACATTCTCCGTCACAGTAGTTGGCAGCGTAGCCCTTGGGGGCAATGATCCAGTCCTTAACCGAACGCAAAAGGAAGCGACAAGGGGTCAGCACACACGCCCTGCACGAACCCCGTGAGAAAGCCTCGTTCGGGCGGGGCAGCTTAGGAGACAGACACGGGGTCCAGGACACACGAGGGGCAGAGAGAGGTGCAGACCTGCCGAGTCTGGCTCTGGAGCCCTGGTTCCCCTCGCTGGGCGCCCCCTGCCCCCGGCCTGCCTGGAGGCCCGCAGGTGGTTGGCTCCAGGGACCTGGACCAGAGGTGCCTCCTAGAGTCCAGGGTACCCCTGTCCCCATAATGCCACCTGCACACGGGAACCATCCCGTCACGTGGCACCTAGAATTTGCCTGAGCAGTGGCTTCAGGAAGGAGGCAGAACACAGGTGCCCTTCCAGTCTGGGTGAGCTAATAACTGTCAGGTCAGTTTTTCCAGCCCTTTCTGGAAACCCAGTGCACGATGTTGAAATAAATGCCCAAAGCAATACTGGCCCTGGGGCCCGAGAGAGAACGAGGGAAGGACTCTAGGCTGGCTGTGGGGCTGCAGGGCCGTGAACCTGGGGCTCCCTAGAGAGGTGTGGGGAGGCGGGGTCGGGGGGTCTTCAAGGACAAGTGGGCGGGCTGTCGCCCCCTCCGCTCCAAGACCTGGGCATCTGAGAGGCTCCTAAGTGCGTTCCCAGGAGGAACCTTCCTGGCCCCGAGGCGCGAGGCCTCTGATGACGGCCGCCGCCTGCAGGGTGAGAGGCGACCCCGGGCCCGTCAGGGGCACTCACCTGCCAGCCCAGGTCCTGGAAGCTCACGTACAGCTCGTGCTTTCTGCAGGCCGCTTTCAGCTCGCTGCTGTTGTAGTCTGCTGGGGATCAGAAGGCGCCCCGGTCACTCACTCATGCCTTCCTTCACAGCCTCACCCCGACGCTTGGCCGCGGCCTGGGGCACCCAGAGCTCTGCAGGCTGCCAGCCGCTCGGGCATCTGACACACAGTCTCCCCTCTACCCCGGGGTCGGGCACACGGGCTCCCGTCACAACACGCCCGCGCTGACCTGAGTGGACCTTTGGCAACACGGGTGTGTCGTGATCCCCTACTAGACCAAGACACCCCAGAGCCCTGACTCGGAGGACACGATTCACGTTCAAGACAAACACGCCGGCAGGTTCCGATTCTAACGGGGACCGTCCTGAAGCTGCTCGGGGGCCCTGAGGACAGCCGGGGGGGGCCAGGAAGGGCCTCCTGAAGGGGGCGCCCTGGAGCCAGGCCTGGCCAGGAGTGGGGGGNGGGGGGGGGAGCACAGTCATGGTGGGATGAGTGAGAGGACATGTGAAGAGCGACCCAATCCGTGGAATCTCCTCCGTGATCACTCCAGCTCTTCATGGGTCCCCAGAGAGCCCAGGATAGGGGCTGTTCCCCAGAAAGACCACCACGGGATCACAGCTCAGAACTCAGGCCAGCCTGACCTCAGGGGAAGGGGGCGGTGGCGATGGAGGTCAAGTCCTGAGCCCCGTGTGACAGCTCTGGACAGGGGGCTCGGGGGAGCCCGCGGATGGGCAGCCATGTCCACGTGTGGAGCGCGACCTGCCAGATACCTGGGGAGGGGCAGGGAGCCCCGTGTCCCAGGCTGCTCTTCCTGGGGGGTGGGGGACTGTTCCCCCCACGTCCCTTATGATCCAACTGGAATCCTGAGTGCAGTGCTCCCCCGAGGCCCACGAGTTGCTCCAGAGTATCACCAGACGGGAAGGGGCACTGCGGG